CATGAGATTTCTATGGTTTCCCATTTGCCCTGAAAACCTGAATCATTTGCATAAGGAAATGTGTGGTTTGGGGACAGACAACCTGTGAGGACTGTCCTTTAAAACCGAGTGTCAGGATCAACTAGGTGGACACCCCCAGGCCTGGACAACGGGGGCCACTTCTGGCCCTGTCTGAGGGATGTCTGAGTCACAGCAGGACAAATAGAGAGTTGAGAGAACACACTCAGTTTTTAAGGACTGTCCTCACAAGCCAAGAAGTTTTCCTGCCTGTATTATCTGGATGCCTTTCTATGTATCCAAGTATCTATCATTGTATGAATATTTCTATCTATGTAACTATTTATCTAATTATCTATGTATCTATCTATATATGTAACTATGTATCTAAATATAGTTATACAACTACTAAAGGCCTGGTGCACAAAATTCATGCATGGCCGGGGGATCCCTCAGCCCGCCTGCACCATCTCCAATCTGGGACCCCTTGGGGGATGTCCAAGTGCTGGTTTAGGCCCCATATCTGACCGGCAGTCTGATATCCCTCTCACAATCCGAGACTGCTGGCTCCTAACCGCTCCTATGCCTGCCTGTCTGATCGCCTCTAACCACTATGCCTTCCTGCCTCTAAGTACCTCTGCTTGCTGGCTCGATCGCCACCTAACTGGTCCCATAATGGCTAGGTCACCCCGAATTGCCACTCTGCTGGCCTGGTCACCAACTAATTGTCCAGAAGGATCTTGGACTTCCGGAAGATGTCTGGTCGACCAGGTCTATTTAACATATTACCCTTTTATTAGTATAGATCTGTGTATCTATCTATCTATCTAAATATCTATTTACTTTCCTTATGTATATAATTATGTATCTATGTATGTACCCCAGTATGGGTTTATATAACTAAGTATCTTTGTAACTATCTCTATATCCATGTTTACATCTATGTACTTATCTATGTATCTCTGTATCGGTGTAACAACTTATATATCTATGTGTCTGAGTATCCAATTATCTAGGATCTATCTTGGAACTATCTATCTATCATCTATGTCTGTCTATCGCTGGTGAATTAATACCATGTAGGTTCCATCTGGTCATGGGTTGAGCCTGGTTAGGACATATATCTCTAGAAACTGCTGTGTGAACAAATTAGAAATACAATATTTTGTATACTTTCACCCAAAAAGGGGAAACTAGATCTGGGGTTTGGAGCATCCCACCTCTTTCATAAGAAACCACGGAAATAACACATATGACTCAGCCCCTTTAAAGCCGCCCTGCACATTCACTGACCTGCAGGAGCCTGATCTCCCTCACCCAGGCAGACTCACATCCTCCAGGTGGACTAAGACAGACAAGACTGGGAGAGGCTGGCCATGAGCCCCCGGCCCTCCACCCTCCTGGGCCTCGGTGAGTCCTGGATGGAGGGACCGCATTCCAGGGACCGAGGGGGTGGGAGCTGGGTGAGGTGTCACCATCCCTGCTCAGCCTGACTCCAGCCCAGGAGACTCATGGTCCCTCCTGGGGGCCTGGCCCTCAGCCTCTGGCCATGACCTAAGTGTGACCATGGGAGGGTCAGTCCTAGAAGAGGGTGCCTGGGCGTGGGGACAGGTTCTGACTGAGGACCTGATTGGAAGAGGGGGTGGGGGTTTGTCTGGAAACTCAGAGCAGGAAGCAGGATTGTGCTCAGAGGGAATGCCAAGGAGGGAGCCTGGGATATTCTCGGTGCCCAGACCACTGCCTCCAGGAAGGCCCCCCGATTGCAGGTGGGGGAAGAACCGGGTGCTGGGTATTGTTCTCACCAGACCTTCCCTTGCAGTGCTCTGCCTGGGCCAGACGATCCACATGCAGGGTGAGTCCACCTTTTTAAATGGAGTTTTTCATACAAGTTTCATTTTCAGGCAAAATATTGATTTCCTGAGTGCTGTTCCCACCAGACCTTCCCTTGCAGTGCTCTGCCTGGGCCAGACGATCCACATGCAGGGTGAGTCCGCCTTTTTAAATGGAGTTTTTCATACAAGTTTCATTTTCAGGCAAAATATTGATTTCCCTTAGAGTCCTCTCCAGGTGTATCTTCAGCTGGAATGAGCCCCCAGCCTCTCTCTTTGTCTGGATCTGTCTGTTCTCACGCCCTCTGGCTAAGTTACCTTCAAAAACCAGCCTTTCTTTCACTTTCACAAGCACCATGTTCTGTCTCTACCACGACCACCTCCCACGCTGAGGCTCATGTAGCTCCCTTGACTCATTCCTATTTGGCCTCTGGTCTCAGCTCTGGGCCTCCCCCGTGGCTCTGAGAGGTCAGCTCTGCCTCCCTCACCCTGAGCCTCCCACACTCACCCTGAGCCTCCCAGACTCACCCTGAGCCTCCACACTCACCCTCAGCCTCCCACACTCACCCTGAGCCTCCCACGCTCCCCCTGAGCCTCCACACTCACCCTGAGACTCCCAGACTCACCCTGAGCCTCCACACTCAGTCCTCAGCCTCCCACACTCAGCCCTGGGCGAGTATCACAGCGTGTGGCTGTGGTTTGCACACTCCCCGCCTCACCCTGTGCTCCCTCTACCCTTCCCCCAAGAAGGCAGGGACCCTCCTGTGTTGCTCCTGTTTGTGGAGCCAGTGGCACAAGGAGGCGACTGTAAAGGGAGAGGTGGGAGCTGAGCTGTGGCTGAAGGAAGGAGGGAATGAGTGCTGGGGCTCGGCCAGCTCTGTCTCCATCAGGGATTGAGTAACTGGGATGCCTTTCCTGTTTCAGGGCTAGAGCCCTCTCTTCCCCTGCCCAGCCCAGTTTAGACACTTGGGGTTTCAGGAGCCTCAGTCACAAGGAAGTGGAAATGGGCTGAGAGGAAGGCGGGAAATGCTGAGGGAACCTGAGTGAGTGCTGCTCAGAGGACGTGCCCAGGTGTTGGGGGTAGGGTGTCTACACCAACAGGGGTCCTGTGAGCAGGCCTGGGCTGGAGCTCCACCCTCACCCCCACTAGAGTTCCCATGGGGCCCTGCAGTCCCACTGGTCCGCTCAATCTTTCCAGCTGCCTGCAGAGCCAGGCAGGTCATATCCAGCATCTCAGAATCCAGTGTCCCTGTCCCCATGAGTGGCCTGCTTATTCTGACCCTCTGCCTACCTCCCAGCACTGTGTGCCCCCCTCGAGAGTGACTGTGGGGAGGGCGACCTTCCCGGGCCCCAGGCTGCTCTGACACCACCCATGTCCCCCTAAGAATAGCTCACGATGTCACCAGAACTCGGGTCCTTGTGTCACGTGGGGAAGTGACAGGAGTGATGAGAATTCAGTTTCCTGGAGGGGGAAGAGGTGGGGTTTTGGGGAAGGGATGGTGGGAATTGTCTAGATTTGGGCTGTGGTGAGGGTTGTACAGCCCCGCGAGTTTGCTAAGAACCATTGAGCTGCAGCTTAAAACCCGGGAGGTGTGAGGTTGGAGATTTCCTCATGATGGAGCCTGAGATCCAGCTCTGCTTCCTCCCAGGGCCCCTGCCCAGACCCTCCCTCAGGGCAGAGCCAGGCCCTGTGGTCCCCCAGGGACGGCCTGTGACCTTCGTATGCCAGGGCCCAGCTGAGGCTAAGCTATTCCGCCTGGAGAAGGATGGAAGACGTGCACCACTTGATCAGAAAATTGTGTCTCAAGATGGTTCGCAGGAGACAAAGGCCAGATTCCACATCCCCGCGGTGAGTGAAGACACTGTGGGGAGTTATCGCTGCATTTATCACCAAGGTTTCCTCTGGTCTGAGCCCAGTGACCTGCTGCAGCTGCAGGTGACAGAGGAGGTCTACTCCACTGCGCCCTCAGGTGGGTCCCAGTTCCCTGCTTCCTGTCCCAGCCCCGTCTCTGTCCTCCGGATCCCTGCTCTCCTGCTCACCCCCAGCCCTGGGGCTCCCCTCCCTCTGCACACATGACCCTCAGCCTTCACCCCTGGCTCAGGGCCCTGGAATGTGGTCCCATCTGGACACCACGGTGGCCTGGACCCTGAGCCCCGTATCAGAGGGGACACAAGGTGGGGCCTGAGCCTCCAGCCACCAGGTGGGGACAGACCCCTTCACGTGGCCATGAGTCCTTCCCCTCAGGTGGTGCCCTGCCTTTTCCCCTCGCCAGGCTGTGTGGGGACGAGGCAATGTATCCATTGGAGTCCACCCACCGTGAGCAAGTCCCATGGTCCATGGGGTCCCTGAACATGGATTGGCAGTGCTTTGTGGTATTTTTTTGGATGAGGCTGTCCCTGGACAAGTGTGGTCAGACCCTGAGACAAACTGGACCCTGGGTCAGAGTCAAGCAAGGACATGGGGAGTGAGGGAGGCGAGAAATTCTTCCTTTAAATCGAAGGGTCTTCTCTTTCCTCTCTCTTCATCCTGCTGTGACTCAGACATCCTATGGGTGGGAGCACATGTCTAGCGGTGGCCCCCACCCACCAGGCCTGGGGGTGTCCACCCAGTCAATCCTGACCCTGTGACCCTCCCTGCCCTGGGATACTGTGGGTGACACAGTGGCCGGGTGAGGTGAGCTCAGAATCCAGGCCCTGTGAGCCTGTGGCCAGGTCAGGGGCTCCCACCCTGTGTGTCCATGGGCCAGGACCAGCTGCCCTGTGCTAATGTAGAGAGGGTGACGGGACGTTCTGAGGGGTGACCAGCCCCACACACAAGTGGATTCAGAGAGGGTGCCACCCCAGTATCCTCATCTCCCTGTGCCCTTTCTGGAGGGTGTCGGTGTGTCCTCTCTATTGGGAGGTGCAGAGATAGAGCCCAGGTGAGGGCGCTGTGGATGGGGAAGGCCAGGTGTGTGGGGCAGACAGAGAGGAACTTGAGCTCAGTGCTTCCCTTGCCCCTTTCCCGGGATTATAGAGTGGAGAACAGCATCCGCTTGGTCCTGGCGGGCGCGGTGTTGCTGATCCTGGTGGCGATTCTGGTGGAAGCTGGGCACAGCCAGTGCAGGGCCCCACAGGGATCACAGGAGTAAACACAAAGGAGCCCCCGCAGTGCGAGGGGATCCCAGGGACCAGCAGGGACCTCACCGAGGGCACGAGGCTCACGCTGGAGCCGAGATGGCCAGAGCAAGGGAAGCACTGGAGCCCCTGGAGACCTCCGCTACCCCACCTGGAGCCTGGGCAAGGAAAGGGGCACAGCAGTCTGGGGCGCCCCCTCTTCGAGCTCTGCGGAGCAGTGGGTTCCTGCCTCCTAGGGCCTGACCTGGCTGGGTCGTGTGCACCTGTCAGTGATCACTGCCCACTGCTTCCAGGCCCCGCCTCCCGGGATTACACGGTGGAGAACAGCATCCGCTTGGGCCTGGCGGGCGCGGTCTTGCTGATCCTGGTGGCGATTCTGGTGGAAGCTGGGCTGAGCCAGCGCAGGACCCCACAGGGACCACAGGAATAAACACAAAGGAGCCCCCCAGTGAGAGGGGACCCCAGGGCCCAGCAGGGACCTCACCGAGGGCACGAGGCTCACGCTGGAGCCAAGATGGCCAGAGCCACCCCTGCTGTTGTTCAAGGACAAGCGAACCCAGGCCCACGTGGGTGAGGATGCTTGGCCTCAACCTTCATCTTCCCAGGACCATGGAGAGGACTCAGCTTGATTGATAGACAGACAGACAGGGCAGGGTCCAGGGGAAAGAAAGGCAGGCAGAGGCAGGGCCAATACGACCATGTTATCCAGTCTGACCATGAAGCCAACCGCGCAGAAATAACAGGATGATTTAGACTCAGAGGGGAGACACGTGAAACTAGGGAGGGGCTGCAACACTAAGGTGAGCTGAGGCATAGGAACCAGGAAGGTTCAGGTCTGCTTCTGGGCAAGAACAATTGAGAGAATCCATCAGGTGGCCACAGGGGGAGACAGAGAGCAGGTTTGTAGCAAATATGTACCCCTAGGCCACAGGCTTCAGTGGCGACCATGACTGAGCCTCTTCCCACGTGGGATTCTGAATTTGCTTGCAATAAAGTTTCCCTACTTTTGCTTCCATCTTCTCTGAGATTTCATTCTTGGGGCCGTGAGACACCATCTGGGGGCTATCAAATCTCATCTCACTGTTCTGGGTTTCAACATGATCCCCAGCCCAGCCAACCAGGGCCTCTAAGACATGGGAGGGAAGCAAAGTGCCCTCCATCAGGTGGGTGGGCCTCCTCACATCGACTGAAGAGAACAGGACTGACCCTGGATGCTGGGGGCAGGCTCCCTGGGGCTTGAGCTGCAACAGCATCTCCCCTGGTCTCCGCAGGCTCCCTGGGGCTTGTGCTGCACCAGCATCTCCCCTGGTCTCCAGCCACCAGCCCTCCCTGCAGATTTTGCATGAACCAGACTCCTGGATTGTGTGAGCCAATCCTGCCACATACATCTCTCTGTACATACACTTCCTGTTGGTCCTGTGTTTGTGACAGACCTTCCTGGTACCGGGGTCTTTCCCTGAATCTAGAATGGTTCAGGAATCTGGGGAAGGGTTGCAGGTAAATTACAAAAGAGACTAGACATATAAATTTGGAAGGCATTTTGGGAGCCAGAGGAGACCTAGCTTCAGTAACCAAGTTCTCTGAATCTCTGGACCCGTATCTTCTTAACACAAATTGCTCTAAAGCAAAGCAGATATACATATCAAAGGTAAGGTTTGGTATGCAGTAGGCATTGTCAGGTTGGGGGAGCTGCCTTCAGCTGTCCAGCTCTTTGGCCAGCAGCAGGTAATAACACGTAGATTTTCAGGTTTGGGGAAATGCTTCCATCTATTTCAGCAGCAGGTAATATGATTCAGCCCCTCCAGTGTCCAGCCCAGCTCTGTGCTCTCCCAGAATATAGAAGCCCATCAACCTTTTGATGAACTTCTTGCATTTATGATCTGCTGGAACTAGCCCCCAGCACATGAGTACAATGGGCACACCATTTCTTTTGGGGGCGATGA